ACATTGAGCCTCATGCAAACTGTGAACAGCAATGAATTACATCATATAACGGGATGATCTAGACGGAAATTGTATTGAGTTCCCTGTTAATTGTCAGCGTAATATCAACTGCGTCTCTGATGTTTTTCATGAAATAGACAACTGAGACAATTTGTAGACATCAAAGAAGAATTTGATGTGAAATATTTTAGTCCAAAATGAAGAAGGGGAAACACTGGGGTCTTTTTCTCAGGTAAAATCTGAGAAGCAGAAGTATTAAGCACATACCTATATTAATAGATGCTTTACAAAAACACACACGTAAGACGATTATATACATATTTTGCTTTAGTGTGCGAGAAGGATACATCAGTTTGGGATTTGCAAACATTTCTTTTGTAAATATTGGAGTCCTGGAACAGCAGGTACAGCCCACACAGAGATCTGATCTCACCATCATCATTTCAGAGACAGAACCAATAGAAGAACTGTGGCAACATTTCCAAGATGCTTGAAACAAGTCCAAGACGACTGGCATATCAACCAGCGCAACGACTGAGTGCACCGTTAACATCAAATGTTAAAAAATACAATAATGACTGAACCCTAATAATTTTCTCGGGTGTTATGTTCCAGCGCCTAATGATTTATTAAGATTTAGGATCACCTCTTTCCTCATAAATTACAGATTTCCCAAGGTTTGGACTTGATTTACGATAGGAATAGATATATCATGGCATGCTGTGTCAGGAAGGAACACTAGTTCTGGCTTTGACCATCAGTGAAACTGTCAGACTGGAGAGAGAACGGCACAAATCTGCCTATCCGGAGCAGTCTGGGCTCACAACACAAGAACTTCACCACAGTTCGTATCACCATTTTTCTTGAAAGCCAATACATATCCAGACCAAACGTATTTGAGCTACTATCTGAGGGAGTTCATTTTTCACCCTCAATAATTCCCCGAGAAAAGCCATACAAAGAGCCTATAATGTCTTTATCCTGAACAAAAGCCGGGGTGACTCAGAGCTGACAGGGTGAGCGGAATTAATTTCTGGCTCAGCTGGTGGCGGAGACGACTGGCGGATCCTAATGAAAAACTATGATAAAATCTTTCATTTCCACCAGAAAGGTTGCATATTCCTGGACAAAGATTACCCTAGTCATAGACAAAATGATCTTGTTAATGGCGGTTCTTGGGAATTCTTTCTACTCCTTGACTACCCATAATCTGTATAATAATGTATGTTTTCTAAATATTATATCATTTTGACAAACTACCTTTTTTTTTTTTTAGCTCACTTGGCTATAAACCTGTGTGCTGATTAATGTGACATTAAAAATAGCAAAATAGCATTTTAATATTTTACTTAAATATAAACTAAATATATACTTTAATATTTTATAATGAAACTTTTAGGCATGATGTTATTATTATTATTAATAATAATGTTAAAATACTTCTAGCTTATTATGCAGAGACCCTAATGCAGCAGCAATTGCTCAACAAATGGAATGAGTTAAGGGCAGAGATATCATAAATATCTGACCAATGGCAATAATAAATAAATTTGGCAATGATAAAAAATATATATATTTTGCATTTCTACTAGTGGTGCAGAAATTACATTTTGCCCTCAGTTTAATTGCATTTAGTGTATATTTATTTATCTATTCTAGTCCAATGCTGTCTTTGTTCTTTATATTATATCATTAGATAGTAATATATTCATAAAGATATTGCCCCTTTATTAATTAAATACATTTATTTGTTTGGGCCTACAATTTAGCCAATTACTTCTTCAAAAAATTAGTTGTTAAATACTGTCAATTTTTAATAGATGACCAACTAGAAAAGTTAAAATTTGTTATCACATCAAAAACAAAAAAGACAGTAAGTTTGACATAAAAACAAAAAAGAGAATAACTATGAATTCTATTACCAACTCCAATTTATTTTACTACAGAAAAGCTAAAAACAGACAGAGTTAATAAAGTGTTGGTTTCGGAGTACTTCAGCTATGTGAACTTTGCTCACTGTTTTCAGTTGGTGAGGTATCTCTACTCATGTTCCGTCTTTTGAAAACGAACTCCCTGTCATGTCACACAATTCACAGAAAAAAAAGAGAGAGAGAAACTCATGGCCATTTCTTTGGTGCACCGACCGGGTTACACTGTTACAGCTGGAAAGAGACGGATAAACAGACAGAATAAAAAGGGGTGGGAGCCGAGAATGGAATATACTAGAGCGCAGGGTTTTCCTTTCCCCGGTCTCCCTCTGTTTAGTAGCGAGTGATGAAAGGATAATTTTCCCCTTGCCCTTTAAGCGCAGCGTTGTCACAGAGTTCAACGGCCCTAGCGACAGATGAGTTGGAGCCCCTGAGGGCCCCGCTCTAGCCTTCATCTCGTGAGCTTTGTCAAGGGCCAAGTCACAGTCATATGAAACAGACATCTAATAGGTAAGCCTTTGTGTCCAGCCCTTCACATCTGCTGACCCGCCCAGCCCCCAAAGAGCAGCGGCGTTCTGCGAGGGAAGACAAACTGTGAAAGAGCTCACAAAGAGCCATGGAGAGCTGATGAAGCCATGCCAGTGTTATTTCTGTATTGCAGCCGCTCTCTGTGGTTTAAGGTTCGTGGATATTAAACCACAGGCAGGCATTGTTTCATAAAAGCGCTTAGTCGTTACTTTCATATAAGCCTGGCGGTTTTGTGTAAGCATATTTTGGGTGGTATCTGTTGTTGTTGTTCTGTGCTTTTTAGGTGAAAGTAAAAAAAAATAAATAAAAAAATATTTATTGCTGGTACTCCAGGGAGGGTGTTTCAGTAGCTTGTGTTGTCTTCCCTGGAGGCCTGAGTGTGATTGTGAGGTAATGTGGTAAGACATTGTAACCTTCTGGTTCATGTTTCTTCATTACTAGATCCAAATGCATGCCATTTGTTTTGTATTTGAGCGTTTTGGCACTGGTTATTAAATGCTTTGTCGTAATTGTTTTTTTTTTTGTTTTTTTTTAAGTAGCTGTGACTTACAACTAGAACTCTATGACTGCAAGTACACAAGGCAGATGTAAATGTTTTACCAACTCAATGCAAGTCACATATTTATTTTATGATCCTTGCATTACTGTGGCACTAACACATTCAGCACACAGGGGGCAACAGAGTTGCCTTCAAATGTCTGTGCTATGAAACCAGATGTTTTATTAGTTAGATAGTTGTAGTGCCCTTTGAAACATTAAGATTACAATGTGTAAAATGAAAATAGCAATGTTGTAAAGTATAAATGTGTACCTTGAATGCAATGCAGGGGTGTGGAGCAGAGCCAGAAGCTGTATCTGTAGCAATCTCAAAATGATTTGTATTTGAATTCAGAAAAAGACTGGGAGTGGGTGGGGCTTAAACCAGAAGTTTGTCTAATTAAATGAGAAATTAGAATTAATTATTTTTTTTAAGAAGTATGGTTTGTATAACTTCTAAAATTGTTCTTTTTTGTTATAGTTATAAAACATTATTTAAATATCTTCTAATTAAAACATAACTAACAATAACTAACTGTTAAAAATTCATTCATTCCCAGTGGAAGTGGAAGCTATGCCAGTTCATTCAGATTTATGTAAATATAATCATCCACAACCACAAATAAAGGACATTCAAAATAGTTAATATGAGCACATGGAAATTGAAAGAAAATATCCAGTGATTGAAAATGACTGAAACAACTTTTACAATGCATCACATAAATGCAAATCTGAACAAATTATAAGTAATGCATAAATTACAGACCAGTCCTGGGAGAGAATAAGACAGCGAAACATATTGTGTATTATATCGTACTGGTTTAAAACATTTAAATAGACATATCAAATAGCAGAAAATGCGTAGGATTCAGTATCTTTGTTTGGTAAGTTCTAATTTCTGAGAGACACAGAAAAGGAAACACGACTATTTAATTTGCATTCATGCTCTGCTCATTTCATTCGTAGAGTTTACACATTCACTTTACACACTCATTATTGCATAGTAGTTTTAGAGGTTTACATAATATTATGCTGTCCTCTGGCCCACCTGTTATTCAGCAAACATGAAGGGTGACACTGTCTGCCAAACATTTGACCTATTATTCTGTAGAATTCGTTGTTCATTTATAAGCCATTATCCATGCCTTTCCGAATAAGGTCAATGCCAAATAAATGCCAAATGCATGCATGCAATGTCAACACTGTTATTGAACTGAAATGAATCAACATTGAGCTGACTCAAGCTGAATTGAACTTCTTTCCTAATGAATTAACTTTACACAGTTAGTGAACTGAACAGAATCAACAATGAGCTGCCTAGAGCTGAATAATGACACCAGTGTCTTCCTACAGCTGCTTTAATTTTGTATTTGCCTCTTTTCTGAAGTTTGCATCACCGATTCTGTTCCTTTCCTGTTTAATACTATAAAGCTGCTTTGAAACCATCTCTGTTGTATAAAGTGCTATAAAATAAAGGTGACTTGATATTGTAAATTGTATTTTCTCTTCAAGTGTCTCTTCACCATGGCAATAGTTGACCTGAAAGAGAACCTGACAGTAGAAAAATACAAGTTATGCTATTTTACTCCTATTCTGTCACTTGCATAGAATGAGATTGAGTTGCATTACACAATGTTTCACTTACATTTTTTATTGTTCTGTGTTGCTAATTATTACTACACTATTTATTTTCATGTAGCATCAATATTTTGGTAAATATTTAGCCCAGGTAAATTTTAGAACTTCTATCATTAATTATGAAACAGGTTTAGTACAGAGAAGTAATGTTTTTAAACTTAAACTTTTGTAAAAATTTGTTTCACTGTGTTATTAGAAATTGTGTTCAGAATGCAACAATGGGTCAAAAAGAGCTTGAGTAGCAGGATATGTTTGCATTCACATACTTTCATATATATTTTGGTCCAACAGCCTGATATAGTTTGTTCAGTGCACACATAATGTTTTATTGCGACAGATGACACTACAGGTGACATATATGATGGTTTGCTACAATATCACCCAAACCCTCATGCATGTATGAACAAGGTACCTCATGATAGTGACCACCGTAGTGTTGCTCACCTGCAGAGCAATGAGTATGTTGGGCAGAGCCTGACCGTAAGTGTCATGGCAGTGCACCGCCAGTGCACTGACGGGCACCTCTGTCAACACATCGCTCAGCATCTCGGCCATGGAGCCCGCGGTGCCTACGCCAATGGTGTCCCCCAGGGATACCTCATAACAGCCCAGCTCAAACAACCGCTTTGCCACCTGGGCCAGAACAGAGGAAAGCCATGAAAACTGTCCCCCCTGGAAATATAAACAAGATGAAGCAGTGCACACAGAGAGCCTATTCTGAGCGTTTGAAAAGCACTGGCGTGTTACAGCGTCATGCAGGCTTTTTAGAAAACATCATAATAAGGGCCTTATGGGACGAAAATTGTGGGAAGGAAAAATATGCAGAGCACTCAACACTCTATGAGATTTATCGCATACTGGAAGGCCCATTTAATTTTGCTTCAGCCAGTTATACACTGAATAATTCTATTCGGATTGATCAATACCTTTGTGACTTTTGACGGTTTTACTTGTCCCTCATACGGACAGCCAAGAGCACAGGAAACGTACCTGGAAATAAGTGAAAGAACTATGAGAGGTAAAATTCAGCACATGTTGAAGGATATATAGCTCTGAGCTTACAGTACCAACAGTCATGCAACATAGGTGAAATAAGTGCTGTTTTACAGCAACCACAAGCAGAACAGTCCACAGAGGCCAGAACTGCTCTTACAACGGATTACATCTATCACAGAATAAAACTAAATGTTCAGCAGCAGATAAAACATATGGTTGGTGTCAAACGGTTGTGACAAATAGTACCAATAGTGTTGACAGTGGGAATGAGTAACAGTGCTAGAGAGTGACGTACGAGCTATATGTGCTTTCCATATGTGGAGGAAACATGTTCTGCTAGAAACAGTGAACAAACAAGTGAAAAGCTGAAAATGTTTCTCTTGGGCTTGTGGTCGCCAGGCGATACTGCTGTGTGCTACCAGAATTTCCGCAGAGTCTGTTCTTGAACATTAGGCGTTGAGTCACATTTGCCAGAATGAGTTCATCAGACTGACTGCTCTCTATCGTGTTTTTTTTTTTTATTCAGTAAAGGGCACAGCCTAAAAATTCTGGACACCTCTGGACTTGCACTTGTAACTGATACAAAGCACAACACTGCACGCACATCTGGAACTTGACTTATTTACTCATTAATGCTGGAATAATTTCATGCTGCTCTGGTGCCACATCTCAAAACCTCAAAGGAGAACAGTCCAAAAAATGTAAGTACAATAAAATAAACCACTGACCTTTTGGTTCAACCAAAGATCAGTCTTGGAGCTTTTATATTTAACGAATGGCTCCTGAAAACTACAGTCCTGCAGTCATTCAAGCACAGGGACAATCACCTGGATCAAATGTCTGACTCAGTGGCATTATGCTGGCAGCTCAGAGGTAAACCCTGATTTTTATTTTTCATTATTTGATTTTAGCTTATTTTATTAAGCATTCAGCTACCAATAAGAGTTCAGCTGAAGGGAAAGTCATAACAATCCACATTGCAGAACATTCAAAAATGTCTTAGAGGGTCAAACCTTCAACTATCCAGTAATTACTTCAGACCATGATCCAGTATGCCATGCATTATTATTATTATTATTATTATTATTATTACTACTTTGATTAACTAAATTCCACACTTGCAGAATTCAGCATAAAGCCAATTTCAAAAACAATGTCATTCTCAAAGTTCCTCCCAGGGGGGCTTCAATGGCCGATACTGACTGTTACGTTAAGTCAGCCCTAATCCTGAATATGAGGTTACAGCCTTGCCTACAACCTTCCCTTTACCAGTCCAGATCTTTATCTGCTTTGCAACAACAATCCTTTGAGTAACCATAATCTGCAACACAGTCTGCCGGTTTCTGCATCATTGGCAGATTGTTGGTCAGATTCTCATTCAAAATTAGTGTTGAAGTGTGAAAGTGCATATAATGAACACTGGCCTATTACTTGAAGGAAATACTGGGTCTATGGCACACAGCCATGCCTTCCTCTTAGGCTGCAATCATTTCCAGTCAAAGTTGATATTCTTCCTGCTCAATGTTACACCAAAGATGGATCCCAGAATCTTCTTGCATAAACATAAATGTTTGCTCCTGTCCTAGTTAAGTAGTGACTCAGTACAGGTGACTGTCGAGCATATGGGTACAACGGTGGCAGCTTATGGGCAGAAATCTGGAGAGAAATGTATTTATGTAAAAATTGAAAGACACTATAATTTCTTCAAAATTCTGGATACTTAAAATATGCTTTCAACTATCAATAAGAATACTCCGATTGACATATTTTGGCATGTTTAACCGTTTCATGGATAGTCCCCTAAAATCAGTCAATTCTGTATTAGGCCGCTCATGGTTAGTCCCAAGCAAGGCTGTAATCAAACATACAGATACCGGTCCTTTATCCACTATACGTCCCTTCAACCCTTTGTTTAATCACAATCTTTTCGTCCAGTCATCCTGATTCGGCATCATTACCTGGCGTTGACTTGATTTCCTTTTGATACTAGTGCACATAATGAGCACTGGCCTAAATCTCAAAGAAAATACGGAAGAAAGCTGGTGTCTGTGGAACACACCCGCGCACTGGTATGCCTTCCTGTTTGGCTGCAGAGATGACCTGCTCAAACCTCTGCAAACTCTCCTCTATAGAGCAGTTGATGTTCTTCCTGCTAAAAGTCTCTGAGGCGGAACCAAACACTGCCACTTCAGTAGCTCCCGCTGCAACCTTTAACAGGAAACATTTAATCAAGTTTGTGCTTATAGATGTTGGCTTGTGAGCACAACTTGCATGATTAGCAAGGAAAGCAATTAACAGAAATGGGCTAAACATTTACAAATAAATGGTACAAGATGTAAAGGTCATGCTCTTATGTAAAGTAAAGGGGCAGTGAAAGCGTAGGCAGAGCGCATGCATAAATAAAGTGGTTTATTATACAAGAAAAACATCATTGACCTGGCATGGAAGGTAAATTGCAAATGCCACTTGTAAATAAATGTAAATGATGCAAATATTTACTTACAGCTGCCTGGAAGCCCTGAGTATTGGGAGTCAGAACAGGGTATCTAACGTCAGGAGACCTTTTAATCCCTCTCAACACTGCAGTGTGGTCTGCCATCTGAAAAACCAAAAAGCAAACCAACAAGAATGTATACTCAAACTTTATTCCAAAGGGCTTTGTGCAAATGCAGTTTTTGGACATGGATACCAAATCCAGTGGTTTTGTGTGGATAGAAAAGCCACAGGATATCAGCCAACATGCTCTTGAGGATTACAATTGCGCCTTATTACCTGTGCTACCCACTTTGAAGACACAAAGCTAGTGGCTTCGATGACGGGCAGCCCGGTCTGAGAGAGCATGTCTATCAGCTGGATTTTGACCTCTGTCGGCACTATTTCCTGCAGAAAGACAATGAATCAAATGTCTTAGGTTTCTATGAACACATCCAGGGAGCATGTTCATCTGTGAGCCACAACAGCACTGTTCTATTGAGATGAATAGTTTATTTGCTACCATCACCTAATGAATAGTTTTCCACTGTAAAAATGATTGTGATTTTAACAGCAAAAGACTGTAAAAATGCTACAGTAAAAACCTGTTAACTGGTTAACAGTAAGTTTCCATACTATATTCGGTGAATAAATATAATTACATTTAATGTCATTTTACAGTAAAATACTGTTAAAAATACAGTTTTTCGAAGTGAAAAAGAAAAGTCATTGTATAATTTACAGTGACAAACTGTAAATTGACACTCCCAGAATTCCCTGCATGACACTTCATATTTGATGTTTTTTTGTTGTTGAAATAACGTTTCTTCTTTGTTTTTTTCTTATCAGTTGCGTACATTAGGATTTAATCTTACAGCTAATGTTGTTAAATGAATGTTTATTGCATTATTTCAGTATCATGTGTGTCACCATGATGGGCTTTAGTGTATGCGGGAATTACATTGTGCACCTTCTATATATAAGTATTGTCCTCCTCAGCTCGTAGAAAAGCAGTTTGTGAAGAGCTTTGGTTCATCACGTGGCTTTCTCATCACCACCAGTTTTTGGTGGTTATCAGTGCATTACAACGGTTCAAGACAGATATTAGTACTTTAATATGTTGATTTATTAACATTACATCAGTTAATGAAATACGGTATTTTATTGTGAATCTAGGTTAAGCCTGTAAAACCTAAAATGTTGCTACCATATTTTTTACGGTGAAGTTCTGGCAACCACAGCTGCTGGTATTTTACCGTAAATGTCACAGATTTTATTTTTACAGTATACAATAGGACAGTATCTGCTAAAATGTGCCCGTGGCAACACTTTTGCAAAATTACAATGCTTCTTGCACGTTTCAGTGAGTGGCATTAATATACAGTGTCCGTTTTATATGTAACAGATGCTGAATGTGTCACGGTTGGTGTAGCGCATCACAGTAGTTCTGAAATGAAATGAATGCTGAGTAGAACTAAAAGGTTAATGCTCTATCGCATTTCAAAATAATGCACAAACTACACTAAACCATTACCTAAACCTGGGGTAGGCAAGTTAAGTCCTAAAGAGCCGTTGTCCTGCAGAGTTTAGCTCTAACCCTCATCACACACCTGAAGAAGCTAATCAATGTCTTCAGGATTACTGAGGCTATAGGCAGGTAAGGTTTTTTTTTTTTTTCCAAGGTTGGCGCTAAACTCTGCAGAACGGCAGCTGTCTAGGACCAAACTTGTCTACCCCTGACCTAAACCTAACTTATAATGTTAAAAACATATTTTGAAGCAACCATGGTATTTTAGCTTGCTTCTACAAACCACCGAGCTCTTTAATCGTGACCGAGTGTTCCACAAATGCTATGCTGTACCGGGTGAGCTTTGTATTTTACAAATCACGTAACTTTGGTAAAAGTATTTTGAGGTCATAAGATAGTAATGTGCAAGGAAATGTGTGATAATATGTCTTTATTGACCAATAATCTGCCCTGTAATCAAAATTTCTGTGAAAATGAATAATTTTGTTATTGTTTTACCGCCAATAGTGCTCATTACAGCTGTAAATAGCATGGAATTGTATGTATAGGTACAATGGTGGACAAATATGTAGGAAGAGGCACGTTTTACAAATTAAAGTCGATGTTGACTAAATCATGCTAAAGATGTGTCTGATTAAAACATGTTATTGATAGTATGTTTTGTGCTCACCAATGATGTCATTACTGAACAAAAAATGTCACAGCCACTCATTATATTTATGCCTTTGAGTTTATTATGGTGCTTTTTCCATGCTAAACCACATGCTACAAGCACTTTAGAATTGTGAAATCTCTACCTTCTCGTTTTGAAGTCCGTCTCTTGGTCCGACCTCCACAATTTTGACACAAAGTGGAAGCTTCGGCAGTTCAGAACACTGTAAATTGAAAAACAATGAGGAAGGAAAGCCCATAAAACAATTTTACACAGCTGTATGGAAAATCTGAACGGTGGATTATGACACATCCTCTGTCCGGTGCTTCCTGTCAAATGGTGCGTACAACTTCATGTTTTGAATCTGGTCTTCAGATCCTTGCCAGGTCATTTATGACATAATGTGCATTGGAAACGAGCATTTCCTCTCTTCCAATGGTAAAACCAAAGCTTAACCTTTGAATCCGGGGAGTTGTTTTACCAAGGGCCAATGCTGTGTTTATAGAAGATTTGAATGGCTATAAAACCTCAGCCTCTTGATACTGAAACCCTTGCTTTGAGGAAATGCACACAGTCTAGTTTCTTTAGAGCTGAGTTTGATTTAATTGTGCTGTCATGGAGGGAGGAAATGGATGTGCGAAAGGAATGATAACAAACTTCTTTTTAAGCAGTTTCTGACCGTGTGCGCCATGTAGGTGGAGGAGAACCATTGCGGTTTGTCCCGTTATCACCCCAGGCCTGCAGTTAGGACAGCCTATTAAATTCACTCATAAATCAAACTCGCCGCTCAAACTAGAAATACAGGCCCCACTAGAAATATCCATTAAAGCAGTATTTTCTTATCAACAAAATAAATTATACCAAAACACTTTTGCTGTCTCTGTATTTCTTTAAACATTTCTGGCCCCTAGCTTTGAGTGGAATTTTCAAGAGGCTAAGCCAAAGTTGGGAGAGCAGCTGAATAAAATGAAACAACTGTGTCATTTACTGTATTTAAAGTGCATTTCTATATTGGTCTAATAAACATTAGACATCTAATTTTCCAGTTTAAACCTGTTTTGTTCACTTTGGCTAAACAGCAAATAACACATAGTACAAATTAAAAGAAACAAATGTTTATTTATTTTCAGTACATGATTGAAACCATCATGCGTTTAAAAAAAAAGACATCACAATAAACATTAAGATCTTTCAAAGCGAATATTCCTATCTTTATTTATAGTAAGTGAACTAAATTAAACATGAACTAAAAATAGTTTTTAGTTTTATCTTAGGTGAAAATTATGGTGATGTGAAATCATTTCAATTACCATTTCGTCAAAGAGCGGAGCTTTTGCTTAGGCTGAGTACACAAAAAAGAGAATGTCTTTGCAGCTTTACTCAAAAAGAAGACGTAGTATTTAGTGTACAAATACAGTATGTGCTTTTGCTCACTAATCCTCTCAGGTAACCGTATAAAGACTATGTAATTAAAATGAACTTAAAATAACCTCATGTAATGATTTTAAAGTTATGTAAACAATTATTTATATATATATAAATAATTGCATATATAACATTTCTGATTAATATTAAATGAAAACAAAGTTCGAACCAAGGCATAATTACAATTTGAGAGAAAGTAATACAGTAGATGTTTTTTTTTTCACTGTAGTTTCAATCCCATATGAACTCTTTAAGTGTACTATAGTATACTATAGGGTAAAGGCCTGCCACCCTGACATTACTAAATTAAATTCTTCAGTTTGTCTCATTTGCAAGTTCTCATAAGCAAGTTTTCAAGTGGTAAAACCTGTGTGGCTTGATGAAAAGCACCATTTTGTAATTAACCACAAATTTAAAACAATATTTGAAAGCTCTGGTGGAGGTGAAGAGTAAATCATGTTTTTTTGTTTGTTTTTTTTGTCACAAAGAATGCATGTCATTAAATCTCAAGTCTCACAGAAGAAAGAAAATAATTGGTTGAGGGTAACATGAGGGTCATTTATTAAAACGTTCATTATGGGGTGAGCTTTACGCGATTGCTTTTCTCTCTGTGTTGCTGTACTTCCTAGAGCCATGTATAAATCTTGCACATGCAAAAAAACAGACCCCCACCTTCTCTTCCCACAGGAGCCGTGGAAACCAAGGATAATCCCGCAAGAACCTCTCATAGCTCAGGCAGTTCTTGACCGCAGTAGAAACGTTACCCATCCGGCTAGCACGATCTGCTAGCCCAGTGCTGTTCCCGGATGACACCTGTGGTGATCAGAGTTCATATGCGCTTCTGAGCAGCAGAAAGAGAGCCGGAGGAGCCCGACAGCATCGCTTCAAAGGCCACGGAATGACTCAGCTGTTACCATGGCAGCAGCATCCCTGCCTGTGCACGGCGATGTATGGAGGGGGAGGGAAGACGCGGGCTGAAGACGTTAGACAGCGTTTTGTTAGCTTTAGACTGACAGCTCCATGTGAAGTAGAGACCCGCTGGGAATCTCGGCTCTACAATAAGACTAACCACAAGCTGCTTATTTTACTGCCCTTGGCACCCCTCCCCAGCGGAAATCTACAGCTTCGGGGAAATATTCTGCCGTGATTGATCTCCTGTGACTGAGGCAGCCCATGCTTTTCAATGGCCGGCCGTGCCACTCTTGCCAATGTCAACTGTGCTCTGTTATAAAATCTCTCTGTAAAGCCGGGCTGCAATTTACTTGTGAAAGAGCCATTCTTCCTGGCCCAGGTGCGTACAATAGAGAGGTTTAAGGAAGCTCTTCCTCAATAAGATGCTGGTGTGCCGTGAGAGGTCTGGCCTCTCTCTCACGGGGGGGAAAATGCAGCTAGTGAGACCAGGAACTGCATTTATTAGGTATCAGCATTTCTCGCATGGCATGAGATGATAAATCATAAGGTGACTTGATGAATTCCAAAAAAAAAAAAGAGTAAGAAATGGTGAATAACAGGGCATGTCTGCAGGGTTCCAACACTTTGTGCACAATGAATCGCCATGACTTTTCCATGATCTCTGAAGTAATTTCAGTATTATATAAGGATTTTTAAAAAATAATAATAATTTTGATTTTCACTAATAAATCACTGTTCAAAGTACAGGCTGACTGTGATGTGCCGTTTTAAGTTTTATGGTGAACAAGAGCAATAGTAAGCAATATCTAGCTGGTGAATTTTTGTTTATAAGCAAGCCAACCCTTGTGAAAAGGAAGTGTGCTTGATTGTATTAAATGTGCACTTTTAGTATACTTAAAATTTTAAAAGTGTATATGTAAAAAAACACGCAGAAAACTTGCATATAATAGTAAAGCAATAAAAGGCTATGTAATAAATGAAATGTTTCTTAACACTAAGTGCACTTTGTAATAATGTGAATTTAAAAAACACTTTACAATAAGGATCATTAGTTAGCTACTTTAGTTAACATGAACTAAGCATGCATAATACTTCTACAGCATTTAGTTAAAGTTAATTTCAACATTTACTAATGCATTATTAAAATTAAAAGTTGTGCTATTTAATATGTTAACGCACTGTGAAATAACATACACTAACAATGAACGACTCTATTAACTAACATTAACAAAGATTAATAAATACTGTAATAAATGTATTGTTCATTGCTTGTTCATGTTAGCTAAATAACATTAACCAATGGAACCTTATTGTAAAATGTTACCAATTTAAAGTACATTATTTGTACATTTGTTGTGTTTTAAAGTACACTTATTTTGATGTGTTGACTAAAGCATGTCAAGTACTTGATTGTAATTGTATCTGTAGTGTTATTCAATATTACATTTAAAGTTAATATATGTTAAATGTACTAAATTGCAATGTCATATTACAAATATACATTAATACAATTTCATAAATTCTTGTCAGGACATTTGGTTGTACACTTTATACAGAAATATAATTGTATCTGTAGTGTTATTCAATATTACATTTATTACAATATTACATTCAATATTACAATATTACAATATTACATTTAAAGTTAATATATGTTAAATGTACTAAATTGCAATGTCATATTACAAATATACATTAATACAATTTCATAAATTCTTGTCAGGACATTTGGTTGTACACTTTATACAGAAATATACACATTAATCTACTTAAGTGGGTCAAAAAAGGCCTCTAAAGTTCATCTAATTTATTATAAATGTAAACTCACACATTTATTTAATTTAAATTAACATGCTAAGTGTCCATTAAATGCAGTTAACACCAAAGTGTATTATTTTACAGTAGGCTATATTATTTCTATAATAAGTATTTTTTTTCTGAACTGTACTTCTTTTTTCACAAGGGACCTGTGGGTTGATGTGTAAACTTTGGCACTGTGAGTACTTTATTTAGTGTCCGAAAAAGTTGTGACAGCAATATTTGCCCGGCCAATTGCATGCCGTGTGAGCTGTGGGCGGGATCTGTTTGTCTGACCAGGTGCAGAAGAGGGCAATGTTCAGGAAACCTTTTTTTTTTCTTTACAATTCCAAGTAGTGCTGAAATTACACAATTCACATTTAGGATTTGATTAATTTCCTTGGACTTTTCCAGACCTGGAAATCACAGTTTTTAAAATTAGCCAGTTCAATGAAATGGCAACCCATTAATCTTCCTAATTGCATTTACATATATAGTCCACATACGAATCTGTACAGACTTTCCTATATGTCCATGAAAGTATGTAATCCAGCCCAGACACTGAGCCAGGAGCTGCCAGGAACATTCAGTGGTGGGGTATGTATGATTCAGAATTGCCCCCAGCTGGAGTTAGCCGCATTAGATCTGCGTCCCTACCGAACCATTTAGCATTTCCTTTCCTTGAATGCTCTCTAACTAAAAGGACAAAAAGTGGACATTCATCTTGACAAATACCAGCTGTCTGGGTTTACTTCAAAGAGGTGAGCTACACCTTCAGGGCATCCTGGATAATGTAAAGTAACACAGCACAGGTGAGCGAGTGTGGGGGCTTTTCTGAACTTCTTTTATCATCCCATACGTGCTCTCGTAAACATTTAGCCACTGAGCATGACAGCAGAATGAAATGTTAAAGAAAGCACAATTTCATTAGCCATTACCTGAAAGCATGGGTTATTTTGGCCGTACCAGATGGTCCCCTCTTTAACTTATTCCTCTTGCAATTGTAGATGATTTAGGAGCAGACTAGTATACGATGGGCTGCGTTTTGCACAAACAAATCCTGCTGGGTTAGCTCTGGGCCTCTCCTGAATTAATCTTTGCCTTTGTGAACTTAAATTGGGAAAATATTTATGCTTTGCTGTCTCTTGTAATCACTGATGGACTATCTTTAGGGAGCACTGGTGTATTTTCCCCGCAGGCCAGTAGATCAGTGGGCTGACTGTTGACACTGAATTTAGATACTAAGTAAATATGTAAAGATTTTAAAGGAAGCAGAGGTCAAACCTCATCAGGCCGTTTAAGCCACAGTAGTCGAGCCACAATATTCTCTATCGGGCAGCATTCACGTGCTGTATCACATATTTAAGGTGGTTTCGAGGGCATTTTCAGGTTTTTAGTTATGGACTTTTGTACAATATTAAAGGGGTCATATGATGTTGCTAAAAATAACATTATTTTGTGCATCTGCTCATCGCTTGTTTACAAAGCTCATCGGTCTGAAAAGCTCTGATTTGCCAGCTATCCAGTGCGTTGTGATTGGCCGAATACCTCAAGCGTGTGACGGAAATGTTACGTCCCTTACCATACTGTGATGCCATGTCCGGCCGGAGCGACGAGACAAAAACATTAAAACCCATTATAAATGAGGCATTTGTTGCATCCAGTGGGGACATAATTACGGATTATAATGACTTATACTGTCTTTTTAAGCGTTGCGTTGCATCGCGCCTAGTAAACATAAAACCATGTCTGCATTTGTGATCGGAGAAATGACAAACAACAAGTGCTACTCGACACTGCTCAAAACTCGCGTTTGAATCATCATTGGCAAATTATTTAAATATAAAAAACGTACTTACAGTCTGTGAGTCAGAACAGCCGGCATTGTAGTCTACTCTACCAGGATTAGGAAACGTCTTCCATAAAATGTGCTGCACACATCTGAATATTTGGGTTGAAGTGTTCTGGAACAGTGTTGTAAATACAACTTAACCACTGATTTCTAGTCGTGTCCTCTTTCGGAAGACCAAACAAAGTAGTTTCGCTTTCACAACGAAACACACAGCGTCTTCTTTCTTTGCGTGAACATTTGGGTGGCGTTATGCAAATCTTCCCACATCATGACGTAGACATGTGGGGGCATGTTTAAACGAGGCATTCTAGGAGGGCGTGGACCAGTCTTAACTTTTATAAGGAATATCTCTTTGGGTCTGAGACTTTAGTCTTTGCAACTTTAGGGATCTTATCTATTCACAAACAACTTGTAACACTCGAAAGAGAAAGGAAAACTTGAAACAGTTCATATGAAACACATCATATGACCCCTTTAAAATCTGAGTTGTCATGTAAAGAACCACTGAACTTGGTAGCAGGGCTGTTGTCATATTGTCCCTGGCCCTGTAACCAGGTGTAATGTCACCATTGAGGGCACACCCATACAAATTTTGTCCCGGGCCCTGTGGATTTAAGCAATAGTTTGTGTTCCCGGTCTGTTTTGTATTTGCAGTCCATCCCTGAGTGTAATTGATGACACTACAGTGAGTCATACGTTCAGTCACTCAACAGGCTGTGCTGTTCCACTGCAAGACAGGTTTGGGATTTTGGATCTTCAACTAAAAAGAACACGTTGTTAACAGGGACTAAACTCTTTCATTGTCTCCCAGGGCATTAGATCCAGTGAAATCTAGGACACACAACACCGTAACAAACTTTACCCATGACTAAAACTGGCTTCCAAATCGGTCGGATGACTTTAATGAGGGAAGAAATGAAGCTCCACGCCATGGATGAATTGCAAAGATAAATCGCAGATGCAACGAAGCCTTCTTTGGATATTTTATTTGGAGTGCTGGTGTAATCTGTACCATTATGTCAATGAAAGAGTTTAGTTCTTCCCTTTTTCATCTTTATGAGATGGAAACAGATGTGAGAAATATTCTTTACGGGGAACAGGTTTAGATGAAGCATCAAAGAGGTTTTAAGCCATCAGATAAATCCTGAAAACATTGAAAACTGCCCAAAACTCAAGCCAGATTCGATCAATTTTCGTCCATACGATTTCAATTGTCCCATAGAAGCTGCTAGAATAGATTCAGGCTTTGATTACAACATCAAAAGTTCAGTGTGTGCACTTGTGGGAAACATACACTGCAGCCTGTACAAGTAGAGTTTGTG